CTCTCTCTCTCTCTCTCTCTCTATATATATATATATATATATATATATATATATATATATATATATATATGGCCTCGCTGAGGATATGGCCTTTAATAGAATAGAATGGAGAATCAGGATTCATGTAGCCGATCCCAATTAATCGGAAAAAGGGAGGATATGACCTTTAATAGAGCAGAATGGAGAATCAGGATTCATGTAGCCGATCCCAATTAATTGGAAAAAGGCTAAAATGATATATATATATATATATATATATATGGGAAAGGATCTTGTCAGCCCTCGGGCTGACTGCTACAGTGTCAGCGAACGGCCCAAATTGAATCTGGGCTGATCTGACGGGTACGACTTCATTTAGTAGTTGAATTTTCATTTTTTTTTCTACAAATCCAAATCACTTGAAATTTTAGGCGTCAATTCTTCCCATCAAGGCTAACGTAATAAAAATATAAAAAAAATAATTTGCAAAATAAATATTGACCAAAATACCCCCGAAATAAGTTAAAACCAACTCCTGAACCCAGAAGCTTGGATAAGAAAAGGAAGTTGTTCTATTCAAACCTCCTCCAACTATTGAGATAGGAAAATTCAGCTTGCAAGGAAAAAAGAAAAAAGAGGAAAATAGTGAGCTAATAGATGAGCTGGTCAAAAGATTGAAAAAATTGAATATCAATGATAAAGCTCAATCCCCTAAAAAGGGAGATGTTCATGTCCTAGAAAAGGTACCTGATGAAGAGATTGAACAAATAGAGAGCTTTTAAAACTGAAAGCTTAGAATAAATAAAATTGATTATGGCAAAAGGTGAGACTAGTATCCCAAACTCGAATGTACTATCCTAGACCTACCCCAGTAGATCTACAGATAGAAGAAGATTTGATATCAACCTCAGTTTCTTACTCAGGAAAATCCATAGTAAATTGGAATATTGATGGTATGGCAGAAAACCAAATCTTAGATCTAATGAAACATATGACTATGTATGCCACCGCCTGCAAGGCAAGTGGAAATCAGGACCATGAGATAGCCAAAGCAATAATTTGTGGATTCACTGGTTGGCTAAGAGGTTGGTGGGACTATCATATGGATGAGGACTCAAAAAATCAAATACTTAATGCTACAAAACAATGGATAGTCAAAAGAGAAGATGGCCAAGAAAATATAGTGCAAGAAGGGGATGCAGTTAATACACTGATCTATTCTATAACCCTTCATTTTGACGGAAGTACTGCTCTATTAGCAGCAAAGGTCTGAGGATTTATTATCTAATCTTAGATTTCCAACACTCTCCCATTACAAATGGTACAAGGATGTATTCTTTTCAAGACTACTATCACGAGAAGATAGTAAATCAGATCATTGGAAAGAAAAATTTATCGATGGTTTACCACATCTCTTTGCCGAAAAGGTTAAAACCAGGCTTAAAACCAAACATGTGCGGCTTATTCCTTATTCTTTGTACACCTTAGGTGAGTTATCAGCAGAAATTTGTGCTGAGGGTCTGGCTCTGTGCACAAACTTAAAACTTAAAAGACAATTAGAAAAGCAAAGAATAATGGGGAGGAAAGAGCTAGGAGATTTTTGTGAACAACTTGGATTCAATACTTTACCCCCATCAAAGCCTTTTCCGAAAATAAAGCATGAGACAATTAAAAGAAGAAAGTTCAGACCTTACCAAAAGACAAAAGATAAATTTTCAAAAAAAATTCTAAGAGACAAACCATCCTTCAGATATAAGGGAAAAAGAAAAATCCCTGTTTGTTACAACTGTGGCAAGGTTGGTCATTATAAAAACAAATGCAGGGTCCAAAAGAAAATCAATTCTTTAGAATAAGATGACCATATCAAAAAACAAATATTTGACATACTCCAAATCAAAACTGAAACTTCAAACCCTTCTGTATCAGAAGAAGAAATGCTAATTGGAGAAATCAATGATGAAGATATCATTTTCAGTAGCTCTGATTCAGACTTTGACTATGAAAAGGACTTAGAAAAAGAAAAAGAAAATTGCCAATGCAATTATTATAAATCGATAATAGATATGAATGGTTTAAATATCAATACCCTTACAAAAGAACAAGATTTAATTATAGATTTAATTGACAAAATAATAGACCCTGAGGCTAAGAAAGAAGCCTTAGTAAAATATATCAATTTGTCAAAAAGTCCATCAAAGAAACCCAACTCTTCTCTTGTCCCTACAAAAGAAGACTGCTGTTTTCAAGATATTCTAAAAAGAGTACAAAATAAAACCCATAAAGAAAAGGAACCTTCAATATCTGAGCTAAGATTTGAAATTAATGAAGTTAGAAATGAACTGATAGCCTTAAAATCAAGAGTTCAAACTTTAGAACTAGCTCAGGACCCAATTAGAGAAACAATTGAAGAAGAAAATATAGAGGAAGAATTTGATCAGTTAATCACTGAGCGTAATATCCCCTTTCCACCAGAAGTTGAAGATACCCTTCCAAAACCCAAAACTGATATGAATATAATAGACAATAGCCAGATAGTACAACAATCTTATATTAGAAGAACAATGTCTAATCACAATAAAGACTTTAATCATAAAACATATTTACATCTGACAAATACAGAAGCTGGTGAAAAGCCTTAATTGTTCCGAGATGTAAGCAGGAACCTCTTCCCTAAAACAATCACACATAATACTTTTACACTCACTAAACTAGGTGGTTTGATACACTACCGGATATACAGAGAAATACAGAACTTATAATAAACAGAGAACAGAGAAGTGAAGCAACAGAGAAATTGCAGAGAAGTTGCAGAGAAGTAACAGAGAACAGAGAGATTGAGAACAAAGAGGCTGAGCAGAAAGGCTAAGCTGAAAGGCTGAGAGGTTAAGCAGAGAGGCTGCGAGGCTTAGGCAGAGAGGCTGAGAGGCTAAGCAGAGAGGCTGAGCAGAGAGGCTATGCAGAGAGGCTGAGCAGAGAGACTAAGCAGAGAGGCTGAGGGGCTAAGCAGAGACGTTGCGAGGCTAAGCAGAGAGGCTGAGCACACTTGGAAACTCCAGGATGTCCGAGTGATCTCTAGTCTCTCCCCTTTATAGACCTTGGATTCGACGGATTTCAAATATTTGGAATCCGCACCGACACTATAGTAACCGCACTACTGCTACAGTAAGATGCTGTCGGTGGACCGCACTTTTTCTACAGTAACCGTACTACAGTAAGATGCTGTCGGTGGATCGCTTTTTTGCTATAGTAACCACACTACTGCTACAGGAAGATGCTGTTTTTGTTGGCGATGAAAGTGA